GTTAAAAAAGAAGGATTTTTTTAAAGTTTACTTGTAATATTATTTTATTGAATAATGTGTGATTGATAAAAAGATAGAGAAAAATGAATTTTAATCAAATGGGGGGTCAAACAGAGGTATATTCTTGTTTCTTTATTGAGAAAGTATTTGTTTTGTTCATTTACTAATATACATTTATTTAATTTCCCTAATTATAACCAATTTCTCTCAATTAATTTTTAAATTGTATAGATTTAATTTATATTTTTTGAAATTATCCAAATATGTACACACATTTCTCATTTCTTCTTGGAAACATGAACAAAACACATAATTTACTATTAATTGTTGATAATTAAATAAATGTAAAATATGAAAATTCATTGCAAAAATTGTATTTTCAATAACATTTAATAAAATTTCTTAATCTGTATGAAAAAAAAATCATCTTATATAAATAGGATGGGGAGTTCCAAATTAAAGTTGAATGACTTAAATCCATTATCGTTCAAAGTTAAGTGACCCGTAATGCATATAACCCCTTTTGGAAGACTAGGCCCTGTTTGTTTCTGATTCTCAAATCAATTCTCATTTTCAATCACACATTCTTCAATAAAATAATATTTTCCATCTCATCAATACTTTTTTCTTCTTTTTCAACCATACATTTTCCATCATATCACTATTCAAAATCAATTCTTCCCCCAAAAATCCCTACCAAACAAGCTCTAAAACAAAATCGTGCAAAAAAAAAAAAAGGCATGACAGAAAAAGTATGGAAAAAATAGATTCTGTTTTTCTGTCTCTAAAATCGGGAAAGATGTGCAGTTACAGAACTGAAGTCCAACACTCCACCACCAACACCCACACCCACACGAGCGGTTCTCGATTTCCACGCACACACTGAAACAGATATGCATGTAGAGAGAGAGAGAGAGAGAGAGAGAGAGAGTAGTTTTAATTTTCAAGTCTGAAAGTAGGTGTTTGAATTATGATTTGAATACTCCCAAAAAGTACTAAAGACCCGTCCCCATCCTCAAATAAATCAAGAACTGGAGAAATAACGTTGTTCAGGCGTTTCATGTTTCGTCATCTGCTTTTCTTTGTTTTGTTTTTTAACAGTTTCGCTCTCTAAAAATCCATGCATCTCCATTTTTCTCTTTCCTCTACTGCAACCTTCGGAATGAAAATCTTACCTCTTTACATAATGGGTCTTTCTCTATAAGAAGTCTCTTCTCTGTTGTGACTTGGTCATAAGATTACTGGGAAAAATCTGATTTCCTACTCAAAAAAAAAATTTGAATTGTTTTATGTCCTTTTAAGTTGTCTAAGTAATTAGAATGAATCTGCAATTTCTTAAGAATTCTTCTAATTCTAACAGTGTCTCCGATGGATTTTCTCAAGAAATGACCTTTATAGACCCACCTTCTGGGCACTTTCTCCAGGATAAAGAGAGTGGTGGAATGGAGTTTCATTATTTGAGTGCACCAATGGAGCAAAATCAGAAAAGGGCAGAGGGAAGAGTAAACAAGAAGAAAATTTACAGGACTGAAGATGAGGAAATTGGGAGGAAAAGTGCACACACAAAACTGTGTTCTAGAGGCCATTGGAGGCCTCATGAAGATGCTAAACTCAAAGAACTTGTTGCCCAGTTTGGTCCTCAAAACTGGAATCTCATTGCTGAGAAACTTCAAGGAAGATCAGGTAAAAACATTAATTTAGTCTTGGGAATCATAAAGTTTTATTTATTTATTTATTTTCTATTTACTCATCTGTTTGTTGATTACTTTAGGGAAAAGTTGCAGATTGAGATGGTTCAACCAATTGGATCCAAGGATTAACAGAAGTGCTTTCACTGATGAAGAAGAAGAAGCACTTTTGGCTGCACACAGAGTGTATGGCAATAAATGGTCCCTGATTGCTAAGCTATTCCTCGGAAGGACTGATAATGCAGTCAAGAATCATTGGCATGTGATCATGGCAAGAAAATACAAAGAGCAAAACAGTACTTACAGAAGAAGAAAACCCGATTTCTCACCGCAGGGATTTCCCATGACTGATCTCCAAATAGGCAATGCATCAAGTGCAACAACAATTTCTAGTAATAATCTACTGGAATCTCATATATGTGATTAATTATCATTTGCTCCGTCAAGAGTTCAATCTTTTTCAGTTTATTTTGGTGTTTCATATTTGATTATTTTTTGGTTTTCTGCTGTAGGATTAAAGGAAGAAGAAAAAGTTGGTAAAGGCCCCATGGCAAATGGTGTGTTAGTGGATCAATCTGGTCATTCAGATTCAAACTCACACTCTGAAGTTTCTGCATCTGAATCAGTAGCAAACAACAGGGCCAATCTCTGCATGTTTGGGGAAGATGATGATCAGAATGGAAAATTACACAAGAGTAACTTGGCATTCATTGATTTTCTTGGAGTGGGAGCCACTTGATAGAAATTCTTACACTCCCTGTCAGTGTAGGTTTCTTGGGGGGTCCCTAAGTTTAGACAGAGACATATAACTGATGAACAGTGTTGAAGAGTGTAGCTATTGCTAAAGATGGTTAGCCATTAATGTACATCTCTTCAATTTGAGCATAGCATATGCAGAAATAATAAGTGAGTTTTGCAGGAAGAAGTCCCTTCAGTCTGAATGCACAGTAAATCTCATAAATGGCGAAACAGAAAAAATAATTTAGCAGATGAAATTACAATTCAAGATGAACATGATAGGAATATAATCATGACTATGAACAAAGTAACTCTGATCAGAGAGCTTTCTTTTGGATTTATTAGTCTACTTTTTTCAGATAAGGTAAAATGTTATTTACTGTAAAGCAAAAAGTTAAAGATTTTAAGAGAGACTGACAATCAATGAATCTGCCCATATTTTATGAGTTTTCTGGCAATGGCGTTTCGTATGCTTTTTTGACTCTTTTAGAACGGCAATTTGGACCTCTAAATGCATTTTCTCGTGTGGTTTGTTGCATAATTTTGTCCTTTTATAACCTGTGTGTTGGTGGGGTATCATCTGATCAAGAAATGTGTTCAATTCAGCAACCACAAACTGTCTAGCCACTTGAATTTCAATAATGCTACGTGCCACCACCATTCATGTGGATTTAAATCGTTCAATGAATGAAAATGTAATTCAACTTATTGGACAATTGATAATGAAGTTCTCTATCATATAGATTGATACCAAGCCATAGCCCGGAGTTTTTCAACAAATTGTTTTGATGGTAGCTAGCCGTTAACCATCTCTGACGGAATTGGGTCGTCCGTTGAAAAATAATTTGTCGACGTTGATTTTTACTGACGTAAAAGGTGGATGTAGCAACCATTTTTTCCAGTTAAGTGTGCAATTTCGACTAGTGGCTGTACATTTCCATCCGCCAATCCTTTGGGTAACACCAGGGGTCCTGCATATGCCACCAAACCTTAAGGGTCAGACTAAACTAATAGTACTTAAAAGGTCACACCTATGCAGCGCAAGGCAAGGTGTCGATTGATGTTCTTATATTGTACATCTTT